AACAGAGCAATGGTTCTGGGAGCCAAGAGAATGGAGAGGCAGTGTTCCCCACCTCCAGGGTGTATTTCAAGCATGCAGACACTCCCTCCAAACACCCCAGCTGTCACAGTGGGCATTCTACCCATATACAGAATCCAAAATCACCAAAACAGTGTATCTGTTGAGCTCTCACAGAGCTGTGGACACAACAAGGAGCTTTGAATTTGCTCCTTGACTAGCACCAATGCAATATTTCAGCATTCCTGCCCCTTTTGACCAGAGTTCCTGCAATGCAGCCAAGGTTAACCAGTAATGTGGCATGCCCCAATAACTAAAAAAGCAAAATTCTCCCTTAATTCTTCTTATGCCTGATTATAAATGTCACCAGCACCTGTCCCCACGAGCTGCTGTTAGTCTGGCTGGGAAAACAGACAGGTAGCTGCATCACGCTGGGCTTGCCCAAGCCACAAGCAGGGCTAATAGAAGCTTTAGTGATCGTTTAGATTGGGAAAACAATATGGGAGAGAGGTTTTAATTGGAGCTTCCTGTGGTGGCCTTCGAGGAAATAACTGTTGGCAGATTTGATCATCACTGTTATCTGTGTTTTATCTGTTTTGACCCAAAGTGCCATTACTGCCAGTGCCTATTTGTCTGTCCCCTGTAGTGAAAATACAACAAAAATAAATAAGTAAAACACACAATTTCCTTTATATATGAGCTCGTCTGATGAAGATATTGCCTTAGGTTATTTGCTTTCCAACTCAGCTTGGATGCTGGTGAATCAGACTCCATTATTCAGGCTTGATGGTGAAATTAGTAATTTCACACAGCCCATCTGACATTCTTTAATATATCCGATAGGTTGCTATTAATAGTTGTCAGTGATCCTTTGTGACATTTTATATTACAGCTTTCCTTCCCATAGAATCTCAAAGGCTTTTATATACTTGGCAGCAACATTACCAGCGTTATGACAGGTGAGCTTAGTGCAGGGGAAGGGCCTGCATATTATAAGGGATTCTGGGAAGTCCATTGTAGCTGCAGGAAGCATGTTATTCAGGAGTAGAAGGCCTGTTATTCAAGGGGGACAGAGCTAAGGAGCAAACAATCCTGCTAAGTTCTTGTGCTTAGGCTTCTCTACACCGGATTGGATCCTGATAGAGAGAGAGAAATAAAACTGACGTGAAGAAGATTAAATGGTGGCTTAAAGTAGGGTAGTTGTTGTGGGGATAAGATTGAGGACAGGAGGAGAAAGATGTAAACCATCCAGAGAGCCTTTGGGCCATGGGGCAGTAAAGAAGTGAAACAAACAAACAAACAAATGCAGAGCCAAGTCCTCAGGGGAGTGCATCTTCCCTCCCAGCCTGCCCACACACTCAAGTCCTCAACTTCCTCATCTCTCTCTTTAGATGAGACCAGCTGCAATGAAGGAGAGGGCTGGGGTGAAATGTAGGGCAGGGAGGAGCTGGACAAGCCCAGTCTAGCTTTATCTGCAAATGGGGGAGTCCCCCCCCCCCCCGCGCAAAGGCTGTCTTTTCAAGATATACAGTAGATTGATAGTGGTGGGGTGTGTGTGTGTGTGTGTGTGGTGGGGGGAAGGTACCATGTCTTGAGTTAGAAGTCCACCCTTGCTGGAAGACCTATTTCATAAAGGGATCCTGTTTATGGGATGCTTCCATTCCCAGGGAGGTTTCCTTGCAACAAACTCTACTTTAGACACCGGGTGAACAGTGTTGAGAAGTACTTTGAATTATGGCTAACGTCTGAAGCATTTTACCTGGTGTTTGCTTTATACGTCCTTATTGCTTCACTTGTTTCAATCTGCAGTTCCATCCCCGGTTCCTGGGAGTAAGCCCCACTGCTCAATGGGACAAGCGTATGAACGAACTCATAGAGGGTTGGAAAAATTAATTTGTGTACACCAAATAAGGGATGACAGGTGGTATATAAAATATTTAAATATCTAAGTTATACTAGGGAAAGTGGAAGGGAGAACAAGAACAAGAAGACCAACTACGCGATGGCTTGCTTTCATAAAGGGAACCACAGCCTTCAGTTTACAAGAGCGGAGAGGGCTGTCAAGGGCAGAACATTTCTGAGGACATTTATTCATAGGGTTGTCACAAGTCTGACTAACTGGACGGCACATAATGAAAAACAAAATTGAATTGTGGGGACTAACTATGGAGTCGTATAAAAGAACACCACTAATAAAACTAGCCCTGAGATGTATGGAGAGCACCTATGCATGGTCTGGCATACAAGGCAATGAGGCAGGCTATGCTAGTTAATTTAGGGTGCAATTCTATGCATGTTTAGACATAAAACAGTCCTATATCTCCCAGCTTTCTCTAGCCAGCCATGTTTAAGCATGTACAGGATTAATGTATTTATGTTTAAATGTGCATAGCATTGTGCTTTTAGACTGCAGTGCTAGGCATGCTTACTCAGGAGTAAATGACACTGAATTCTATGGGACATCTGAATAAGCATGCACTAGATTGCACTACATTTAACAGAAATGCAAATACTGCCATTTGGAGTGGAATTTGATTAAAAAATAAAGACAGCATTATAAATGCTAGGTGAAGAATAAAGATGGTATAAGATAGAGTATCTTCAAGGCATTTTAGACAGTGCTGTGTTCTTTATAAACAGAACAGGAAATTTAAACTATCTGTATATTTGACCATTTGGTGTAAATTTCCTGTAGAATTAAGGTTTATTCATGTGTGAAGTTGCTCATTCATGCGAACAGATAGAACTGTTATAAAACACACATTTATGAACCTGCAGAAGCACAACAAACATTTGTGGGCAAGTTTATACATCCACATGCACTGTGCATTACCCATGTGTAAGGCACACAGTTGTTCATTATGTGGGGTTGAGTGGAAATCACCGATAGTCAAGCTCAGCAGTATGTAATGTGCACTTCCCTGAGAAGTGAGCATGTAATTCTCTGCTTTTACAGGATCATGCCAAAGCCACCTCTCTAAGCTTAAACAAGGGAGTAGTTTGTATTGGAAGAAATGTATTGCAACTGGAATGTATATGCATGTGTGTGTCCACATCCAAGCCTTTCAGAAAGCATATGTCTTACACTACCTACAGATTGTGAATTAATACTGCTAAATGAATGTTGGGAAAATATTAAGTTTCCCTCCCACAAGAAATCAATCATATCCAGCTAAACCGTGTGCAGAGTAGTTATCTGAAAAGCTCCAGAGCCCATCAGTTGCATATTTGATCCCTAGCATGTGAATGTGGTTGTCATGAAAAAAAAAAAATAATGAAGCAGGGATCAGCATCAAAATGCTTACAAAGGTATACCGGATTTTGGCTCCATATCTAGCATTAGCAGATCAAAATTGATTTTCAGTAGGGAAGTCATAAATACATTTGCAAGTTGTGAGACAGAATGGTAAACATATCCTCTAGTTTGGATCATTTAGGGAGTTAAAGAATCCACAAGTAGGTGTAGAACTAAATGTTGGTCTGACATGTTTGCAGTTTCCTTCTCTGGTTTAATTCTGCATTCAGCCAGGAACTACTACCTATAAACCAGACCCAAGTAAAGTGATCTACTACATAAAAGAGTATGGAGTGTCAGCAAGCAAGATTATTCTAAACAGAGACAGCAAGGCAGAGCAAAAAGCATCAGTGGAGAGTATATTGATTTAAGGGATAATATAAATAGAACTGACAAGACCATGATGTCATTTTAACAGTTATGGTTTGCACTGAGTTACAGGACAAAATTATGTGGCACAGGATCCATTATGAAAATATTTTAGAAATTATAGACCACAGTTGATCTATAATATATGGGACTCACTATGTTACCAGTAACAATTTAGATTAGTTACTAGTCTATTTGCATAGTCCTGAAATTGACTGAAAATTTCACAGAGAAGCAGAGGTATTAAAATAATAAACGCTCCTTCAAATCACAGACCACTCACAAGTATTTGCTCCTAACCTGTACTAAAATGACATATTTTACTTGCACAATGCAACATAATATGGAATAAAGGGAGTGGGTAATGCTATAATTTGATATGTTTGCACCCAGGACTAACTAACTCCCCAATCCCAACATGAGTATTTGAGCAAGCTAGGCATATTCATCACACTTCACTGAATCCTGCTTAGAAGCAATTGTGTAGTATAAAATACATCTGCTAACAGGTGTTTTATTTTCCATTGAGAAATGTCTCTAATTTTCTTCAGATATTTAATTGCTGCTGTTGCACCTAACTTTGCAGGGCTGGAAAAACAGGGCCAATGAAAAGCTACTGTGGAAACATTCTCCCTGTCCTGCTGCCCTCACCAAGCCTCTCAGCATTCTAATGTTTGTTATTTAGCATCTGGAAACCATGCTCTGTCGCTGGGCACTGGAAGCAATACATCTCCGATATTTCCAAAACTTGCAAGAGGCATTCCGTTGGTCTATTTTGCGCCGCTATCAACACTGCCAACGGGCAGGTTCCCGTCCAATCCAGACCTACTTTAATATCGCGGGCGGGAATGGGGGTCGTTCCTACAAGTTTGCAGAGAGTAGGCTATAACTCAGAATGGCAGCAAAGCAAACTTCTCCAGTCGGGGGTGTGCGCGCGTCTGCAGCATCTCCACGGCACCAATCCATTTCCTTTCGTTCAAAGCATTGCTAATTTTATTACGCAGCGTGCAACGATCGCTCGCTGCTCTTCTCCTCGTGGTTTTAATTAACTGGAGCACGAAGAGGCAGGGAGAGTTTGCGAGGACTCTCGGCGAGCACACGGAGCGGAGCCATCACCGTCAGAGACCGCTCTGCAGGCGCCGAGGGCACCTGCCGGCAAGGGAGAGCCGCTTGTTTCTACGTCGCCCCCGCCCCCCCCCCGGCCTCGCCAGCTCTCGGATTGCGAGGCGCGAAGCACGAGGAAACTTCTCCGTCTTTCGTGCCGCAGAGGAAGTTTGCAAGCGATAGCCCCCCTCTCCCCCCGCGCATGGGTCGGGGTCGCTCGGTGGGTGCCTTTTACCTTGGTCAGCTGGGCGATCTTCTTACACATTTTCATATGCATTTCCTGGTCGCAGTCGTCCGACGAGCTGCAGGGATGGCTCGTTTTGGAAGACCCATTGCAAGTCGCAGGCTGATGGATCTTCTTGTTGATGCCAGAAGCCATTAGGCAGGCTCGCGAGGGATATATTTAATCTCTCCGCGTGCGGAGACTGCCGCGGTCGGATTCTCCGCGTCCCTCGCACACTTCTGGCACTGGCAAGGGGAGGGGGGAGGCGGGGGGGGGAGGCGCGGTGGGCGGGCGTGCTGGAAACTTCAATTTCCAAGCACGCCTGAGATGTGGGCGCAGCTACCTGCTGCCTTCCTACCCGGTCCACACACGCACACAGAGAGAATGAGAGAGGGAGCAGGCCGGCGAGGAGGAAGGAAAGGCCAGCCCCTGCTGCTCAGGTCCCCCCCGCCCACCTCCGCCCCCCAAACACAAGCACGCTTCGCCCTTTCTTCTCCTCGCTCATTTCCCCTCCTTGCTCCAGATGGATTGGCTTCTTCCACGAGGAGATGCCACTGGCTGCATGCTGCGCATTCCCCTAGGGAGACGCTGAGCCGGTGGCCCAAGCCGAAATTGCTGATGCTGACATAGTGGAAGATGCATGTCTGTGTTCAAAGAAGACTAAAAACAGCCTGGTGCCCTCTAGATGCGTCGCACTGTAGCTTCCGGCATCCCCCCGCCAGCGCCGCTGGGAAGCTAAGAACAGCCGACGAGTCCTGCCGGCTCGTCCACAGGGTCTCTATCAAGCGCAGGGCTTGCGCCCAGCAGGGGCCTGGCAGATCGGACTAGGCAGCCCACGAGCACTGCGCGAAGCTCGGAGTCTGTCCCCGCATCTTCTGTCCCCAGTGTCAGCTGTTTTCAGCCTCTGCATTTAACCCTCAGGACGGTTGGCTTGATAGACCGCTCCTCTCTTCCACATCTTGAGCTTTTCCACTGGTAGATACTGAAACTGGTAGTCTCCTTCACATCTTGTGGCAGCAAATGCCACGAGTTCCATTACGCGGGACATATGTGAGGGTGAGTGAAGTCCTCTCCTTCGCTTTCCACTTTTCATTGGCTCACTCCTAAGCAGTGTTAGGAGAAAGGGGGACAATCTCCTCTCTGCCGGCTTTTTTTTCACACCTGGCAGAATGGTGGCTGGTTTTCTAGGGGGTCATTGACCATTAGCACCCCAGTGTGTGTGCTTTGCTTTAGCCCACTTGGCTCCGTTCCAGGTCTCCTACTGGAAGAGGGCAAAATGAGGTCAGCTCTCACTTGAAATAGGATCAGTCCCATCCCTGCCAGCCCAGAGAAGAAAGTGATCTGTCCTGCTGCCAAGTCAGCAGGTGGGTAGCCAGCTGAGGGAAGTGGGGAGGAGAGAAGAGGGAGCCTCTCTGGCAGGAAGCAGAGCTGGGTGTTACACCCATGAATCCCTATGGCTGGAAGTGCAATGTTTAAAACAACAAACAGAAGGGAAGCAGGGAAGGGCCGCAGGGAATGAGAATTTTAATTATGAACTAAAAAAATGCTGCTCTTTGAAGGTCATAGTCATTGATGCCATTCTGCTAATGCAAATTATGTTAATCAAGCAGAAACCAAGTTCTAAATTATGCAGAAAGGGAGAATACAACTAAAATTCTACTTGTGCAAGCGGCTATGCAAACAGTTGCACGACTGTTTGTAGATCATAGGTTTTTAGATTTAAAGTTTGTTTAGTTTCCATACAAGATACAAAACCACCACAACCAATTGTATCTGCAAGTGTTCCATAATCCTATATACAGTGTAAGTTCCAACTCACTGTAAGTTCCAATAAGATTTGGAGAGCATTTATTATGTGTTTAAAAAAATGGAAAGGATTTGAACCATCAAAGGAATCCCTGCAGTTTTGGAAGGGGGAAATGTCCAAAAAGAACGTCTGAATGAATTTTTATATCTGTAACTTGTATCCTAAGGTCCTGGTGGTGAAGGGCAGATATTTTTTAAGAATTATTTTAATCGTGTGTTTAATTTTATATGTTTTTATTTTAATTGTATATTTTCCTTTCTGGTTGCATTTTAAATGAAAAAATAATATATATATTTAAAAACTGTGGCTTCCTTTATGAATTTTGTCCATTTCATATTTGGTCTTCCTTTTTTTCTTCCTTTCACTTTCCCAAGCATGAGTATCTTCTCCAGTGAGGCTTGCCTTCCCAAGGGGTGCCTGAAGTGCAACAGCCTCAGTTTTGCCATTGTTGCTTCCATAGAAAGCTGTGGCTTGATTTGATCCAGGATCCACCTGTTTGTCTTTCTGTCAGTCCAGAGAATTCACAAAACTCTCTTCCAACAGCCTGTTTCAAGTAGGGTTGGGATGAACCCTTCCAGAATCTGACCCTCCAGCATCCATGGACTTCCTTTCCTGCTTAGCCCAGTCCTGCAAAGTGAGTTACGGTAGTTAAAAAAAGGGTGGTTAAAACAAAAAGAAATTTTGAAGTGCTCAGAAAAGATCTCTCCAAACTGGAGAAAGCATCAAAAAGGCAAATACAGTTCAAACTATGCATGTGCAAAGTGATATACATTAGAGCAAAAAATCCCAATTTTGGCTATACTTTGATGGGATCTGATGTAGAAGTGACTAACCAAGAAAGAGATCTTGAGGCTGTGGCGGACAGCTGGATGAAACTGTCAATCCACAGTATTTGGGTACTACGAAAATTCAATGTTAGGATCTGAGACAAAACTGCCAAGATCATATCTTCCTTGTACAAAAGTATTATTATTTTATTATTATTATTAGAACATTTCTATGCCGCCCCTTGCCGAAGCCTCGGCGCAGCTTACAAACACAATAAAATACAATAAAATACAAAAATAACAATATAAAATTAAAATTAACAATATAAAATAAATAAAAATATAAAATATAAAAGAAGTAAAAAGTAAGATGCATCCACTCTTGGAATAGTTTATACCAGTGCATTTTTGTAAAAAAGAAAAAGAAAAGTGCTGGAACTCACGTCTTGGGGTCACACTTTTACACAATGGTTGCCGCCAGCAGTAAGCACTCAGCGCGCAACCACACGACTGATCCCAAGCCGAGCAGCATCCCAAGCCGAGCAGCATTCCAAGCCGAGCAGCGCCCTCACAATCAGCACTGACACACAAGCCACTATGTTAATGATTTTTGTCGCCGATCTGCTACGCCTAACAGGGCGATTCACAATCACTTGGAAAAATCCATCAAAAAAAGGTGCCGGAACACCGTTCCGGTGTGTTCTATGACAAAAAAAGCCCTGGTTTATACCATTCTGGTCATTGTACCTTACGAAAGACATTGCATCATTGGAAAAAGTACAGAAAAGAACTAAAATGACCTCATTCCAATAATGCCACTTTGGATCACATGAGGATTCTGAAGAAAAAACACACGTACTTGGGAATCTTAACTGTGTGGTAAGTCAGGGGGATAAAGCATAAAGAAAAGAAGAAAGAAATGATGACCCTTTCTGCCAGCCATGTAAGCCGAAATAGTACAATGTTGCAAAGAAGTCTAGAATACTAGCTCTGAACAATTTATTATGTCACCTGCTGATCAGTCTTTGAGGGCCTCTGCACAGTGAGTCTATTTCTTACCAACATTGCCACTAGCTGCTGTTGGTCCTCTTCCTTCACTTTCCAGCATTGTCACTGTTGGCTTTCTTGGCTGCCAGAAAGCCATCAAGGAGCTGTGGCGCCTACTGCCCCTCCTGTTCACGATCACCCTCTTCTCCTGGGCCAGCACAAATGGCAGGCAAGCAAGCGTGTCGCAGTGATGAGCAGGGGAATGTGCTGACCCTTGAGAGTCGCCCTGCTATCCTCACACGGATCTGCATTGATCATCTGTGGCACAGCTCTTCGCCTTGTTGCAAATGCCTGCCCTAGAGGCAATTCTTGCCACAGCTGACTATGCATGCACCTATGTAGAGGTTCAGAATGTGTGACAAGCGAAAATGTGCCGCACAGTGATAGCACAGCAGCTGCTGCAAGCAGCGAGCAAGGGAGGAGCACGGACAGCTGTTGCTTCACACAGCTGTCAGAATTGTGCAAATTTTGCCCGCCTCCTGACCAAAAGATCTGGAGCAATCAGCTGGTTGGCTCTGGGAAAGGAGCAGGGCCACTCAGCTGATTCCTGCAGCACCCTCTTGCATGTGCCAGAGGAGGGGCAAGATCCAGCAGGGTGGCAGTGACCAGCTGGGGGCTATCGCACTCGCCGCATCCCCCAGGACATGCCAGAGAGAAGCCCCACCCCCTTTATTGCTGCAGCTTGCAAGAAAGGCCATTGGGTGGGTGCTGGGCTGGGGACACCTCTCTCGCAAAGGCGGACCAGTGGGGGAACCAGCTGAGTGGTGCAGCCTCCAAGCAGACCTCACTGCTCAGCTGATCCTTGCCCCTCCCACTCATGGGTGCAAGGAAGAGGCGGGAGGGATCAGCTGAGCAGCACTGCTCCTATCCACAGCTCCACCCAGCGGGTTCACCCCCTTTTCCCTGAGCATGGACCACCCCTCTGCCCCACAAGTAACCCTCTGGAGAAGGAAGTGAGAGTGCCCGATCAGCTCCCTCGTCCTCTCTGCTGTCCTTTATGGCATAAGCCCGCTGTGCAGATGAGACTTGCTTAGCAGTTGCAGTGAGCTGAACCCAGCTTGTACTTGCAGCTGTCAAAGAGAGCAGCCTCACTCCTCTCCGTGGTGTCTCTGGGGATCCCACCTGGGAGGCTGATTGGGAAGGCAGTGGTGGGAGGGAGGAGTCTCTTCACCATAAGTCTGATTGTTACCTCATGGGCAGGCAATCGAGGGACATGGAAGCCACAAATTGCAATCCATGGTGGCATGCAGGGTTGCTTGCTGTGACATGTGAACCCAGAGATGAAAGAGAGACAGACAGGCAGACAGACATACAGACAGAGAATTTTTTACAGGTATTGTTGATCTTAAAGCTAGAGCAGCAAAATGACAAATATACCCAAGCTGGTGACTTTAAAATTTATTGGTTCAAGACACTGCCCCAGATATTTTGATAAAATGTAGTTCTAAGGAATTGCTACAAGGGGAGAAAACTGGGTGAAAAGGAACACTGTTCACGAAGGACAGAAGCAACATTCATGAAAAACAATGCAATGA